TCTTTATGCAATATAATGTGAACTCCTTTTCTTAAAATTTATAAGCTATCACTAAATTTCTCTAAGAATTCTGGACTGGGTTGAAAAATTCTTAGCTGAAAAAATAATTCCAAAATAAACAACTCCCTCTTAAAACTTGGAATTCTGTTTCAGAAGTCCTTCCCTTGGTTTAAAAGGCCACATTATACACCGTTCATATTCTCCCATCCCCGGTTCTCTCTGTACCAAATCCATCTCATCATAACAATATGTACCATTTAATGAGCATCTAATATGTGCCACATATTTACTTTAGAAACACCAGTAATTTTACTTTCTTAATCACCCTACCAGCATAAGTACTATTATTAGCTCCACATGACAGATGAGAGAACCACAGTTTAGGAAAGAGAATTAACTTGGCTAAGGTTACACAGCTAATAGATCACTGGGGTCCACTAGTCTGTACATCTCCAACACGTGCAAAAGACAATCCTTTGGTTAGACACTCAAATATGTAGAAGTCAAAAGTATAAATAGGAACAGCAAAAAATGTATATCAAGACTATAATAACCTGAGGTTAGTCCTAATATTTTAAGTTGTCAGATAAATATATCTTCCCATTTTTTTGACTAATCAGCCTTTTCCATTTGATGTGTCAGGCTTTAAAATCATATAGACATGGCCTTGAATTCTACTTCCTCACTTGTCATCTTCCTAAGACCCTAGACAAGTTACGTAAGCTCTCTGAGTCTCAGTTTTCTGTCTCTAAAATGAGAATAGTAATATCTACCTACTAAATTTATAGAGAATCATAAACATTTTGTAGTATTTCCCACAAAAGGCTTTCCCGAATATTTGTTTAATTCTACTTATATATCTTATTCCATCTTTTCCAAAGCAACCTTCTCCTGTCTGCCTTTTAAATCTCTCTTTTTGGGGTGGTGGGGGGTGGGGTGAAATAACTAAACAGCTACCAAAAAGCTCATTAAATATTTTGCACTAAACATTCAAAGCACCCCAATAGATTACAGTTAAAATAACAAATGCCAACATTCACTGAGCTTTTACTACGACTCTGATCTCAGTGTTCTACATTAATTATTTCATCTAATCCTCCCGACCCATGAGATAGCTATAAGTGAGCCTATTTTACAGAGAAGGAAACTAAGAGCATATAGTTTACTGAGATTAGCCATTTGTTCAAGGTTACAAAACTAACAAGTGGCCAGTTTAGGCAGGCTGCCTTTTAAAGTAATGCATGCTATTGTTGTGTAACCCTGAAATGGTAGTGGTGGGGGTTACAGAGGGAGAAGCTACAGAAACAAGGCTCTTAAATCCAAATGTTACAGGAATGGCATTCACCAATATTATTTGTGAAATAAACAGAATGATAAAAGGAAGCCGTTCTTTCTTTCCAAATCCTCTTCAGTGCTATGCAAGGTATTATGGTATTATGCTTTGCAGTATTAACAGACATGAACAAGAGTTTCATATAATTCAGATGCCTCCAAGGAAGAAAATTTAAATTCTTCTAATCTTACCTGCTTTTGGTTCCCTGATCCAGCCCTTTTGCAGAAGAAAATGACCAGCAATGATTGACAAATTCAGAAACCAAAGAGTTAAAGAAAAATGAGCAATTTGAACATTAGAAAGAGGGAGAATTTTTCATTTGATTGCATTTAAATAAAATGTATTCTCTTACCTAGATTATTACCTCATGATTTGCATCAATATAATTACCTGAATACAACAGATACCATGGTAATAGTTTCATATAGTAAAACATGGTGGTGGCTTGCACACCCAATTACTTGAATTTTAACGTGAATATTTCTAGTAGACAGAAATAGCTTTGTACCGAACTTTTCTCTTGATAGACTGCAATAACTATGTATAGATTTTCCCAACTGTTCAGAGTTATGAAATGGGATTTACCAAAGAAAGAAAAATGTTTCAATATAGTATTACATACATATATTAACTATTTCTTCTTTATTTAGCTGATTTCTTTTTGAGTATTTCTAGAAGTTTCATGGCAATAAAAAGGAAGACCAAAATCATCAAATGAGAAAACACAATTTTATGAGCAAGTATTTTATTTCTGTCCTTTCCCTGAAAACCAAATCTTTACTAAGAAAAATTCTATTTTGAACACGATTGAAAGTTTATGAGTATTGAATTTCCATCCCATTTTATAGATTTCAAATGGAGAGAGAAACCAAAGTGTAGCAGGGCTGCAAATGACATTGTTTAGATAAACATATCTTGTCAGAATATCCTGGTATCATTTAGAGGCTCCAGGCATATTTGGAACTAAGATTCCAGTTTAGGCTCTTAATAAGCAATATGACATGTCTCAGACACATGCTTTTAAGAAAATGCTTGCTTGGACCATTTGGATTAGAGTCTTTCCACTATGCTGCCAATATTCATAAAGGTATTCATTCCTAAAATACAAAAGCTTAGAAAAGAAGAACTATTCAAATCACTGAATATTGGCAGAGAGATACAAACTTGCCCTCTGGTCATTCAATTTTAATCTCTATCATGAAAAAGTCAATGCAATATCAAAAAAATGCAGGGGATAATGGAAAATGTTCAGACAATGTTGAACAAATACTGTATAATACATTCATGTTATTTTCCTCTTAGGGAAAAAATTGAAGTTATTTTTCATTAGTAAAACAATAAATGACTCTCTGTATAGTACGTTCAGATTTGCATAAACATCATTGCCAAATTTCCATATTTCTCAGGCAAGAAACTGATCACTTATCTGTGTAATGGGAATTCAGTCTCATATTGAGTAAATCACTCCTAAGATTCACTCTTTTGGGTCAGTGTGTTGCAACCTGTTGGAGAACCCTCAAGGCTCCAGTATGGTGGAGGAATGCTCTGCTAAATCAATTGTACAGCTATCTGTGTTGGTCATTACAAGGCAATTTTGCTCTTGCCTTGCAAGTTATACATATGACATCCTATAATTTACACAAACTTATAGAATATAAGTGCATTCTTCCTTGTTCAAATTAGCTATGCAGAGGTTGACTAATTTCTTACCAAATCTGTTCCTCTTCCTAGGCTCAACAGTGTACACTATTTCCATACTTCCCTCGCAGTCAGGTGTGACCATGTGACAAGGTCCATCCAACAGACTATGAACAAAATTAACACACACCATTTCCAGGCCTGGCTCATGACAAATTTTCATGAGTAATACTTTCTTCATCTGCCCATTAAATGCGTATGAGTCTTATGCTCTGAACACAAAAGATAGAAAGAGTTTGGGATCCTGAATGACTTCAAAGAGGGCTGCTTATTTTGGACTGCACTAAAATAAGAAGTAAATTTCTACTGCAGTAAGCCTCCAAGATTTGGGAGATTACCTGTTATAGTGGCTAGTGTTAGTAAAATAATACATTAGTATACATCCACAGTCATTGTTTAAGGAACAATGAAGAGTTAAACTTTCAAAACCAAGAGCAGACTATGTTAATTAGCAATCCCTACAACTGAAAGAAGACATGTCTTTAGGAAGTGAATCAAAACATACATAATTGCAGACAAAAGAAATATTTAGTCTTAGTCCAATGATTAAGGTCATTAACAAAAGCAACAAAACAAGATGGGAAATGGTAAACATACTAGAAAGAGCGCAGATTTTCAAGCCTGAAAGAGACATTTACAAATTCCAAGCTCTGTTCTTTGCTTGTTTTGTAAACTTCAGCAATTTGAATAACTGATCTTGGAACCTGTTTTCTCATCTGTAAAATGGGGATTATAAAATATAGCTCACAAGATTCTGTAAAGATTTTGTACACACAAACACACAGAAACACACACACGTGCACACACTGCTTATGAGGTACTGAATAAATACTAGCTATTATCAATAAGTATTTACCCAATATGTGGAAGTATGACTAATAATATTTTAAAATATTAACCTTTTACTCTGGTTACTCTTTCACTTTCCCCAACATATTGACAACTAGTCATTTCCTTGGGGAAGGGTTAACATAGCAGAATATAAATTATGAAGACATAGATTCTCATGGTTTCTGAGTTTCAAAAATCTAGGCCTGGTAAAAGACAAAAGATTTCAAAGACAGAAAAAAAAGATGGCTGAAAGGTTTTCCTCCTTCCTGCACTACAAAGGATTCCTCAGGTTGTAGGAAGGAAAATGAGGGGATATTGCGGAGGAAGCAAGAAAATTCAATACCAGTGTGTGTCCCTGGAGGGAAGGAAGGTAGAGAGAAGTGAGGAAACCCAGAGAGATCTGAGAGAACCTGAAAGCAGAGCTGACCTGGACCTCATTTCTGAGGAGAATCTCTGAGGGAAACTGGGTGGTGAGTTTCCCCAACTCCATCTTCTATCACTCTTCCTGACCCCATGGAAACCCACTGACACAACACACAATCACTGTGAATCACTCTCCCCATTAAACACATAGGAGTGTATGTCGGAAGAAAAGAATATGCACAGCGTCTAGTCAGATGGGTCTTACCAAAGTTCTTGCCCACCCTAGTATGGCATAAGGTAGGTACAGTACGATGATTTTTGATATTACAAAATGGGGGCATCAAAGTAGCAGAGACATATCCAGATCTGAAAGTCACTGCAGACGGGAATGAAAGGTGGCCCAGGAAGAAGTCACTGCCTGCTTAGACCAACAACCAAGGATATGAGGGAGAGACTGGCATCTCCATGGATGCCAGCCCAGATGACAACTAAAGAACAAATGTTCTGTCACACTGTGGTCATCACACCCATCACTGCATGCTTTGCAACTATATAAGCCCTGAATTGATTTAAAAATGTATTTCTTCTATTCAATGGAATTACATTCAGTTATTAAAAGGTAACATTATGGACTGAAAATCTCAGCACAATTGTTATCATTTACAATTATTTCACATTATGTTTATAAATGTGAGGGGAGTATATGAACTTAAGTTGTTATTGAAACTTGGCATGCATCTTGCTTTGAGTGTCCCATGCTTGTTAGAAAACTTACTTCGATCCGTAATGATTGTTCTAGCCTCTTGATTGCTGGTCTTGTTTTTCAAATTTTGGGCAGCAGTAATGAGTTCTTCCAACTGGGGGCGCCTCTGTTCCAAATCCTGCACTGTTGCCTGTAAGAACAAATACCGCTTAGTATCGGGGTTCTCCAGTGTTGTGTATTCCTTTTACATAATACAAAGTAAAGTACAGTTGTAAGACCAGCCAAAACACTTTTAGAAATAAAAAAGATGTTACCGTGTAAGGGTTTATAGAAAACAATTTAACAGGAAATATGTTCCATTCTTAGATATCAAAAAAATTTCAAAGAAAATCTTGATTATAGATTTTCTTCTTTATTTAAAGGCTCAAATGGAGTCATTCCGGAGTACCTCGGATTACTTAAACCACTGTAAGAGTGCCTTGAGTAAGAAATGTTATTCTGAATTACGACAATGTATTTAAAAGATAGATAGCTGTTTATACTTATAATATCATTCTGCGTGATGTCAAAATTAAGGTATATTTATTTTAAAAACAGAAAAAGCACACAACCGATTTAAGAGATATTACTTATTTAACTTCACTGTACCCTGAGATTCCTCACCTGTCAAACGAAAAGGCGAAGTAGATGAGCTAAATCAGCTTTTCTCCTAAGCTGCCTGTCCATAAGAATCACCAAACCTTTTTGCCTCACCCCAGAACTAACGAATATGTAGTGGAAAGGGCTGCAAATCTTGCATTTTAAATAAATTATCTAATTAACTTTTATGATTTAGGCAGGTTTGGAGAGCATCAGATTAGAGGTTAGTATTCCTATTTCCCTGTATTATAAATGACTCTAATATAGCACTATTTTAAATAAAAATACAAATATAACAAAGTCAACAATTTTTAATTTATAGGTAGTAATGTAAATCATTAAGATATTCTTCCCTTTCTTCAGTGTCTATTGTCTCTGTTATCTTAGTCTCTCTGGATTTAAGGACCAAAATCGCAGAGATATTTATGAGGAAATTGATGAAAAAAAGGCATCTGACTAACTCTGGTTCTAAAACTCAATAAATTTTATTTTAATTGGGGAAAATAAAAGTAATATTTACTGTTAGTTTGTAAGCAATATGTGACAGATGTTTTATCTACATTTTCTCGTTTTTTTCTTATAACAACCACACTAGTAAACAAGCCAGCAAGTTTGTATAATTTTAAATATGATGTTCTACCACATGAAGCCAATGAAGATGAAGAGATGAAAGTGGTAGATAGCAATGCATCTGAAACTTATATGAAACTTAGTTATTTACTCTGTTCTTTGACTCCTGCTGATTTTCTAATCATTTTTGGTTTTGGAAAGGCCAAATTTTGATCATTACGTAGTGTTTCTTTTGTGAAGAGGTAGGGAGACAGGCTTTGTGATTTAAACTCAATTGCTTTCAGTAATAGTAAAATAATGCAACAAACGTATCCAAACATTGTACATCTACTCCAGGCACTTTCTCCTCTCTGTATTGAAAAATTGGAGGGGCTAACTTTTAACAAATTTTCCACATTTGTAGGCTGTGATTGCTCAGAAGAAAAATCCAATTTTCAGGTTTCTAACTTTTATGGTTTCTTTATACAAAAGAGTGTTTGAAATATGGAACAAACTGCCAAAGACAGCTATTGAAGTAAGTGGCATAAGTCAGTTGGAGAGTACTGAACAAATTTTAAAGTGGGAACCATATAGTAGCAGACAGATTTTATGAAATAAGATGTTTTCCAGTGTTACAATGTGAAACTCTGGTCATCTGTGACATGGGAAGCTGAAAGGTTGCTTTGGAATTGCCTACCCTAAAATGTTTGAATATGTTCAATAGAATTTTTAAAACGGACTTACCCAGAAACCTCAGATGAAGTCAAATTTTCACCTCAAAGTTAACAAAGAACATTAAATACACAGAGCTGGCAAAATACATTAATTCATTTACTCATCCATTGATTTTAATAAATATTTTTAAGCACTAGGTACTATTCTAGGCACTATGCATGTGGCAGTGGACAAATATATTCAGTATAGTGTATATCTTAAATGAAAAATTGTGTTTTTTGATACTTGGAAATTTTTATATAACAAAGATGATCTTTATTGGGTTGTTGTTCTTTGATTTGATATTAATTCACCCTCAAATAACCAGATTTTTTTGCTTCTCAGTTTTAGATACATTACTCAATGTTTGCTATACTTTTTTTCCTTCTTTTAAGATTTCAAAGTTCATTTAAGAAATGTGTTGTAAAAGTAACTTGATCAACTTTAATCTGAACCTTACCAGTTTCTAAATTAAACCTAACCATAATGAACAACTTTTACTGCTGAAATTAGCAAGCATGTCAACTTAGACTCAAAACAAGCCATTTTCCTCTCTAATGAACGAAATAGGTCTCAGGGTATTGTGAAACCTGTTCTCTAGTTGGGTGATTCTCTAATTCTGCTGACAGACACATGCTTTGTAAGCACCTGAGAAGATTATTAATGACATCCTTTGAAGCAGCCTCCTTAAAAATCTAAGGAGATTCACAACTGCAATACAACTATGCATTTCTAAAATATTTCAAAACAAAATTTCAACTTTTTATCCCACTCTTTGGTCAACACATACAAACATTCATTTCAACAAAGAAGCTGTAAAATAATAATGTACATTGCTATGGGATTTATCATACACTAATAGGCTCTTTACTTAGTGGTCTTTTAGTATAGCAGAATGGGAATTTTCTCCTTTGATTCCCTTTCTAGAAATAAAGAGAGGGATTTAATATGGCTACACTTCACTTCAGTATTTTTTCATTAAGACACTATAAAAACAGTGGTTAAAATAATTTCTTGCTAATAAGAACACAAACATACAGTGAGAGTAATGATTATTTTTCATTTGGTTTCCTTTTTAGTGTATTCTATTTACTTGCTACTATAATTTCTTTGACTTCACAACTTAGTTTTATAATTCCAGAACTTCTCAAACTCACCTTCATCTCCATTCCTTCCAGCCACGCACAGATGAGAAAACACCTTAGATCTAATCATTACTCAAACTACTTGCCTCCAAAATACCCATCTACCAAATTCTATTCTCTACCCACAATCTGCTACCCCTATCAGATGTTACTCTCCCAAACATGCTGTTCCTAGTATTATCTTCATCCTCATGTGACCTCTGGTTCTTTTCTGTTTTCTCAACCTAGCTTTAGTCATAACACACAAGTAGAATGCTAATTGTGCTTATTTATTTCTCTGATATGATCCCAGATAGTTGTTACACAAATAACTTAAGTGAACAAAACTAAAATCATTACATGCTTACCAGTACCTAAGCATGATAATTGATTGTGTCTACATGGATTCTATCATTCTAGAAGAGACAAAACACAGGAGAAGGAAGGAATCAATGCTATTTCTAAGGAGTCATAAGTCAGCTACTGGGCTTTACTAAAAACAGCTTGCCCCTTGGAGATGAGAATTCATCATGGATTCCACTAGCTGAGCAAAGATGGAGGAAAAAAAAATTCTTCAAATACAAAGTGAATCAGAAGTCTTTAATCTTTAATCCCCCCAGAGTTGAGTGAAGTGGTTATATATAGCAACCCTATGAAATAGGAAGTTAAACAGTGAAACCATACATATTATAACTAGGGCATTTTAGGCTTTTAGACAAAATTACAATTTGTTATTGTATTTATTAAAATGGAATTCCACCTAAATAATACTCAAATAAAAACTCTATATGTTACCGGGCGTGGTGGCTCATGCCTGTAATCCCAGCACTTTGGGAGGCTGAGTCGGGCAGATCACGAGGTCAGGAGATCGAGACCATCCTGGGCAACATGGTGAAACCCCATCTCTACTAAAAATACAAAAAATTAGCCAGGCGTGGTGGCGGGCACCTGTGGTCCCAGCTGCTTGGGAGGCTGAGGCAGGAGAATGGCGTGAACCCGGGAGGCGGAGCTCGCAGTGAGCCGAGATCGTGTCACTGCACTCCAGCCTAGGCTACAGAGCGAGACTCCATCTCAAAAAACAAAACAAAACAAAAAAAATTCTATGTTGAGTTGAATATTTAGTACTTATATGTCTAAGAAAAGACTTTAAAAATCAAACTTGTCGTATTTTTATATTTTTCTATAAAAATCAATCTACATAGCATAAATGCCCATGATTTTTCAAATGTTCCCATTTTCAGTAAATATGAATTAAGCTGAAATGTAACAATGCAGAACTGATGCTACTTTATTTACAACTTCAAAAAATTAATATTAAGAATTCAGAATGTAAAAGAGTTTATGGAACCATTTTATGTATTGAGGAAAATATAAGCATAGAAGTCAGGGAGGTACTAAATTGCAGCCTTTCTAGTTACTGAAAGGGTTTTACTGGTGGGGATGCTAGTAATCTGTCTAGCTTTCAACCATCTCACTGAGCATCTTCTTCTGGCTTCTATTCTTGCATTTGGATGTCTCTCCAAATAGAGTGGCCAAATCGAAAACCATCCTTATTGTCTTCCACTTACTTCCTCACTTCTCATTTCCATTTTATACTGGCTTGGATATTGATATTTTCCTACTTGGCCAACCTTCCTTACTTCTTTTTTGAATGTTCTACCAGCACCTCCATTGGTAACTTCTTAAGAATCTTCATAACCAACTTCATAAACATCTTCTAACTGCAGTTATCCTTTTTTTGTTCTTTATTCACTGCATAAATACTTTATAAGATACATTTTAGTTTTACATAATTTCAAGCCTGCAGAATATTTGCAAGATAAAGAACTCCCATGTACCCCTTACTCAGATTCACCATTTGTTAACATTTTGCCACATTATTTTAAATCATTTATCATTTTATCATTCTCTCAGATATATAACTGTATTATGTAATATTTTTTATATATATATTTTTCTGAATCATTTGAGAATAATTTGGAGATATCATACCCCTTTACCCTTAAATATTTAGGTTTTATTTCTTAATAGCAAAGACATTCTCTTAAATAACCTCAGCTCAGTTTCAAAGTCAGGAAATTTAGCATGGCTTTAGTACCATAATCTTATCTATATTCTATATTCAGAGTATGACAATTAACCCATTAATGAGCTGTATAGTTAT